AGTTGGTTCTGAGCTGTCCATTGTATGCCGTGTTTTCCCTCAGATGTCGAGGTATTGAGACTGTTTAGCAGGACCTTATTCACCTCACAGCTTGGGCTAAGATAGACCAAACTTATCAGCAGCTCTTGTCCCTTGCATTTCAAGCGGCAACTAGTTAATCCACACATCTTATTTTCATGGGATACTTGTCGATAATGATAAATGGGATAGCATTCCTAATGAATAAAGCTACTCCCCCTCCTTTACGCTTTTGTATTCTTTCGTTCCTTACTAACGTAAAACCCTCGAAACCGAATTCCATACTATCTATGGACTGTGTCAGCCAGGTTTCTGTGACTGCGATTATGTCTGGCTTCGTAGAGTCAATCTGCACACCTAGTTCCGACCGCTTATTGAGCAATTTTCAGGCATTAGTGTAACAGATCCGAAGTCTATTTAAATGGCTTTGTGTTGCATCCAAAGTGGCATTGGCATCATTTTCTGTCGAAGCCTCACAACCCAGAAATTTACAAATTTTATGTCCTTTTCGTCAGCGTCTAACCTAAGTTGTAGTTCTTTTTCTTTTGTCCTTACGGACAAAAACTCCTAAACCGTTTAATTTATGTTTATTCTGTAAAATTAAGTACCGTTCATTCGAGGGTTTGAATACTACTATGAGCAGTCTGGTTTGATTAGGCTTCAAGTTCGCTTGACTAACTAGTCTATACACCTTTAGCAAGGTGACTCCTGAGACATTTTTAGACATAATTTGATTAAGTAGCTGTTTTATCAGCACAATTTCATGCTCAAAACAAGCTTTCAATTCAGAGTCTCACTCTCCTTGATTCTATAAACAATAACTGGCCTGTCACTGTGTTCAGTCTTCAGTTTCTCGACTACTTTTATGGAGATAGGATTCCCTTTTATATAATTATGTCGTTTATTGCTTACAACCTATACCCATTCATCAACGTTGGTTGGATTAGCAACCACAGTCGCGTCAAACATACTGTGGGATTCCGGAAGGTTGTCGACGATTTCGGAAGTCAGGTTGTTTCCCTCTGGAAACCGATCGAGTCTTGCGACTGCGGCTTCTAGGCGTTTCCTGCTGGATACCATTTAGAAGACGGGGAATAGAGGAACTTTCTTCCTTGAGTTGTTAGTTAAGACAGACCTCTTTGAAGATTGTCTTTCCTACTTTGATCGATGTAAGTCAGTCGTTTCCGAACTTCACACTAATTTGAGTGTCGACAGAGCCAGTGCTGTCCGATACGTCCCGACCGCGCTTGCTAAAACACTTTTTTTGCAGCATTTATCATTGTGACGGCCTCGGTTAGCAAGCTGTTTGCATCCGAACAGCACTGCTAACAAAGCCATACACAACCCTTCTTACTGAACCATTTAAAAGCGGCAGGCGTTAAGTTCGTGCAAAATTCGTGGTACCAGCTTTTGCACTCATCGCACTGCCTGCCGCTTTCAACGGGATATCGACAACCCGGATGTTGGCGATTGCTTTTCTTAAAGTGAACAAGATACAATAGTACCCAGAAACAAAAATGATCTATGACCAGAACAAGTGGAAAACTGTAGATTGTTAGAACCAAAAGTACTAATCGATACAATAGAAAACAAAGTACTCAAACGTACCGACAATAAACTACTTTAGAAACAGGAACGATATTACAATCGTATACTTTAACTGAAATAAATTCAGTCAAAGTGTAAACAGTAGTCTTGATACGTAATAAACGATCAAAACAACATAATTTACTCAGCGAGAAAAAGTACCACTGTCCTTTTAAATAGCGCGCTCAGAGATATACAGACAAAAATACACCTAGGTACACAAGGCATATATATACGAAGTAAGTAGATACAATACGAGTAGCGGAACTAACAGTTACACATATATGAGTCCATAGACGTGTTAAAGATTATGAAATTACCATTCAGATTTTTATGACCCTGGTGTTCTAAGTTCGTTTACATAATGATAGGTCTACACAAGGGTGCAATTAAAGTGTTGCTACATAGTTAATTTGTCTTGTTGTCCGGTTTATGCAAGACTAACATGATTACTGTTAAATGGTCCTATGATGATTTACATCTAGCATTCTCAGTAAATGGTGACTGAAATTGAAAAAAGGTGACTCATTCAATCATTGATCAATAAAGGTACAAAGTGGTCGCAAAGTTGAAAAAACTTTGTATTAATGTACTTTTACCGTGTTTGCTCGAGGAAATGTTGTTTCCGGTTACATTTGCCTTAAATATTCTGTAATTTTGTAAGGAAATACAATTAGCTGTCTTCATTTATGTTCTTGTTCATTGCATAATGAATGTAATTCTCATAGTAAAGTCTACAAGAATGTGTTTAATAAATTGATAACGAAACCACTGAACTAACTAGAAGCTATGTGATATAAGTGTAGTGTGGCGTCGAGTCGCGGTTGACTATGATCACAACTACAGGAAGGTTGTGTACGAAATATCAGAAGGCGATTGAAGGTTATAGCGAAGTATATTTCTTGGTGATCTCGTGGTATCGAAAGAATACCGAGATCGTACTAAAGGAGTACAAGTGGATTTACTGAGGAAACGTAAGTTCGTGCAAGGTCACATCCAACGGAAGGAAGAATGGAAGAATAATGGATGTTTTTAGTGCTGTTAAACAAACAAGCACAGTAAAACAATCACTGGTACAATTGGTTATAATAATAATAATTGTTTCCATTAAACCAATCGCGTTCACTTGATAAAAGTAGGTCACTACCTAAGGAACCATAAATAATAAAGATGTAACTAAAGTTATTTTTTTTAGTTAGATAGATGTAGTCTCACTTTCCTTTGCTAAAACACTAGTGGTGACATTGAAAAATTAAGAGCAACCATAGTTGAAAAAAACAGCTCATCAACTATGCTAAAGGTATTTCATGGATGGGTTACAATGATCATATGTAATGAAGGATTAGCTTTAGCAGAGTCTAGTGACATTATGATCAAGTTTTTAATACATTTCACTTATATACTCTTCATAAACCTAGTTTATAAAGAATAATTTTAAACTATGTGATTGATTCCCAAGGTGTAATCCACTGTTTTTGGGATAAAATTAGGCATCTGGCGGCACTACATATATGGGTAAAAGAGTGAGTTATTATTCGAGGTGAAAAAGGACATTTGATCGAATGTAAAGACAAACCTTGATCACAAATTTGACTAACAAGGGGATAGAAGCGAAACATATCATTATGAACCAGAAACAAAGCGAGTATAATGAATAGATATTACCACAACAACAAAAGGTGGACAATAGAATAAAAACTGTTGAAGCTTCTTCTCAATAATAAATGCGTAGCGTATCATAAGTTCTACTACGCAGTCACTAGGCTATGCAACAAATATCAGCTGAAAGCTGGTTACTTCATAGATGATTAAGTTTTAGTAGACTGATGATTACTGTATTTTCATTATACTGTTTACTCAAGGTAAAGTATTTCAATTTTCATTAGGTAACTGCGTTGTGCAGTCGATAATCTATGAAAGACCACGTGTCAATTAAAATATTTCTTGAATGGGAATACACTATAAGATAAACAAACACACATATTCGTGAAAGGTATATAAACCACTTACAACTGTAAGTGGTAAGTTGTAATTTGTTATGTAACAAACACTGATTTCACAGTTAAGCAATTGATTAGTGTCATCCATTCCACACAGTAATAATTATTATAATAATAACACTGTCATGATAGATTGTGTAATTGGCAGTGAACTCGTGTAACGTATGCGGGATTGTGGATGAACACTGCACACGAGTCTTATGCTATAACGGAACGGCCGTTCAGTGTTTCCAGCTATTTAATCGTGGTCTAGCGTAAATCAACTCATCCATTCAAATAGTAAAAATTACTACAATCTCCACAAACCCTCATTCTAACCATAATCATCATCATGTGCTCACTAGGCACTGGGTTCAAGATGGATTTCATGGAATTCTAGTGAGAAGGGTTGCACAAGATTATAGATTGATTGAAGTTACACATTAACACCGTTAGGTGGTAACTTAAAGGTCTAGAGGTTAAGCGTTCGTGCACGAGACCGAAGGTCCTGAGTTTGAGTCCCCTATGCTAAATCATAGATGTGCACTGTTCAGGAGTCTCATACTAGAATAAAACAACCGTCTAGTACTTCCAGGTTTTTGAATGTCAATCTAGCTTAAATCGACTCATGAAATCAACTATTAAAAATGACTACAATCTCTTTACAAATCCTCATTCATTATTCTTCAAAACAGATGGATCAACATATAACGAGAACAAAACATTTTCACTTACTTGTTTTGTTTTTTTCGACAAAACAAAAACAAAAATAAAAGAAAGCTGAAAACGCATAAACACACCCATCCACACACACACACACAAATACAATCAAATTGATTTCATTATTATGTAATAATATAAAAGATAAACATGAAAGAAAAAAAAACCCAACTCAATATTAAGTAGTATATATCTAAGTTACCAAAAATAATTGATCAATTATAAAATAAAAGAATATGGATTAAGAGTAATGGAGTTTTCTTTTATTCTTTTCTTTTGTTGTTTTGCTTTTTATGAAAAAAAAGAAAATTGTTACCATGTGTACTAGTGAATTCAACGAATGTGGATTAATCTATTGATCTAATTTACAATAATCAGATAAAATAATAAACAAAAAAAGAGAGAAAAATTCCGAAAATAAAAAAAGTTTATTCTATAATCTGTGAGAATGTTTTTTTTCTTTTTTTTCCTTTCTTTTTTGCTTGAAGATGAAAATGTTTCTTTGTTGTTGTTGTTGAAATAAAAAATAATTCAGTGTATCCAAAAAAAAGAAATATGGAATGGAATGTTTCCAAGTGTTTGGGCAACAAATACAAATGCATTATGTAAGACATAAAACTGGAAAATACTTCACCCATGTATACTTCAACATGTTATATAGATATAGATCTATCTATCTATCTATCTATTTATTGTTTAACGTAAAGTATGTGGTGGTCCAAATATTTGATAAAGCATAAAAAATGCTAATTCATGACTACTCCAATAACTATTATGTGCACCTAATATAGCAAGTGGTGAAAATGATTTTTGCCATTCATAATCAACACGACGTCGAAGTTGTTTTTCATTTGTTGTTGGCATTGAACGCATTTGACATAATATTGGATTTAAATTAGTTACATTAGATGATCGTCTAGTTATATAATTACTGAATATTTTCACTAAATAAAAGAAAAAAAAAGAATATTGTAGAATTTAACTTATTACGTAATTTATAAAAAAAAAGAAAGGAATAAAAGCAATTTTAAGCAAAGATGAATAATGGCTAGCAGTGGAATACAGTTTGATGCATGTTTAATCCTATTTTTGTGACTCATCAACTGGGTGTATATGCATCTCAGAGTTGGTGTTGATTACGGGACTCGAACCCGGTACCGTTCGCTTCAAACGCCATCACATAGCTAATTCACCACATTGCACAAGCAGGTGGCTATAAGGACTCAATAACTAAGTAGATAATGTGATGACGTTTGAAGCGAACGTCAGTGCGTTCAAATCCCAGAGCAAACACCAACTCTGAGATGCATGTACATCTAGTTGATAAGTCCCAAATAGGATGAGACATGTATCCTGAATTCCACTGCTAACACAGTTCTACACTTTTGAAACTGATCCATTATTTTTTTTCGATCGACTATTTATTTTCACAAAAACAATCACTATCCATTCAATATTAAAACTTAATTATTAACACTACTAACTTAATAGTTGAATTCATGAGTTAATAAAAGCTAGACTAATATGAAAAACCTGGAAGTACTAAACCGCGTATCGACTAATCCTACCTCGTGAGATTCGAACCCAAAACCTATCAATCTTGCACGCAAGAGCTTAACCGCGAGACCACTGAGCCGGCCGGCATCCAACGGTATTAATGTCTAATTTCAACTAAATCCACTACTAACTTAATCTTATTTATAAATTAATGAAAATTAAAGTATATGTAAACTTTTAAAAAGTAAAAGTACTATAGTTTCCAGCTAGTTTAATTTCTAACTATATTGATTGATGATGTGATCATTAGAACACATGACAATTATAATAGTTGTGTTGTGTTTTTTTGTTGTTGATTGTCTATAAACAACTACAAATCTCTTCTATATCGATAATTATAATTACAATTAATTGATTTACGAATAATGCCTCCCCCCGTCCCAAAAATAGATATCAACTAGAAATTGATTAATAAGGAACAGAAAAGAATCGACAATTATTATGTCCTTGAGTAAACAACTACATAATTCAGTATGTAATGAAAGTTAGAATTTTAAGATTGAACAATGAAAAGAGGTTCTAGGTTCGAATCTTGTAAGGAGGGGATAGTGGATACGCACTGCTGAGGAGTATAATACTAGAACGAAATGACGATCCAGTGTTTCCACGTTTTCTGTGGTGATCTAACTTCAATTAACTGATGAATTTAACTACTTTAAACAATACAATTAACTAATTAAGTTCTAATTGTATAATGTATATAAAAGAACGTTAATCAATTTGTAATCCAATGAGATAATCATCAACTGTCATTGATATGTAATCTCCTTAATTGTTACATTACAAATTTCATAGTTCAAGAGCCATTATTTAAATTCTGACAAATCACCTTCAAAGAATAATGATTAAGTTGATGATAAAATTTGTTTGAAATCATGAGTCGATTGAAGCTAGACCATCATGGAAAACCTGGAAACACTGGATGGCCGTTTCGTTATGAGGAGTCCCATACTAGGACGAAACGGCCGTCCAGTGTTTCCAAGTTTTCTATGATTGTCTAACTAGTGTAGTTCAGCTACACCTGGAGTGAATTATCAACATCGAACCATTTTAAGAATTAATTCAAGTCAAAAATGGATCTTTACAAAACTTGAAGGTACTATGTTAACTCCTTGACAAAGCTATGGATGCCTTTATCTCAAGATCTCAATAATAAAGTGAGACAACTCTCTAGTAATTTCTGGATTTGGAAAACAAGAACATGCTATAATCATAAGAAGATAAAACAGAATAACAACTCAATTGTTGAACATTTTTCTTACTTGCTAATGATTGATGTTGTTTATAAACGGAATTTTCATCCACAACACTTAAACGTTTGAAAAACTTAAAATGAATAGAATGAAACAAAATATATACAGTAACAGTTATATTATGAATCAAATAGAACATCATTTAAGCATCAAATGGAAGATAAATACGGGAATATGATTAAATAATTGTAGTGTCGGTTATTATGTTAAGCCCATACACACCCTATTCGGACAGACCAATCTATTCACTCTAGTTGAGTTACATTTTGACCTTGTTAATTATTCACTTATCAATCTTGACTTTTTTTTATATGAGCGCACATCTGTGTGTGCCCTTCTTATCCTATTCATCACATGTCTGTAACTTATTTTTGTGTAACTATAAATATTGATTAACGCTTGACTAAATGAGAGTTGGCTTACCTGCTTTCGTTCTATTTCCATTCGCTTCATATACAACTGACTCATGATCTTAACCTTTAAAATACTATAATATCCACAAAACCCATCTGATAGTAATCAACATATGCTCACTAGTGACTGGCTTCAAGAGGTATATCCTGGAGTTCTAGTGAGAAGTAGTGACCAGTGGAGTTCAACCAGGTCAGTTGTGAGATAGTAATTCACTAACGACAATGGTGGATGCGTCGCTCAATTTCGTGAATTAGTTGAAGTTAGACAATAACACGGTTGGATGCCAGCTCAGTGGTCTAGTGGTTAAGTGCTCGCGCGCGAAACCATTAGGTTCTGGGTTCGAATCTCGCATGGGGCGAGGTCGTGGATGCGCACTGCTGAGGAGTCCCATGATAGGACGAAACAGCCGTCCAGTGCTTCGAGGCATTCCATGGTGGTCTGGCATCAATTGACTCATGATCTCAACCATTGAAATTACAAAATATATGTATTCAAAAGTCCATTCTCATTAGTTGACTTATTTAATTCCGTTATTGACTAACGTAATTTAAGCCGATGATTATATACGAGTATAGGTGACATATATATTTCAACAACAATCATTCATACGATCTATATGGAGTCCGATCTCGGGCCACTAAATAATAATAAAATTATTATTATTTTAATAATGGAATTATTAAAGTCATATTGAGTAGTAGTTAATTACTAAAGTAAATCAGATGTATAATGAAAAAGAACTATTATATCATATAAAGTTTAAATTTATAGAGTACAAATCAACAACTGTTCATTTAAACATTCGAAAAGATAATATTCTGATATTAACACTCGAATCAAGTGTGATCCATAAGATTGAGATCCAGTTTATATGATTTATTTTGGCCTAATGCATTATGTATGATAGGTATAATATTATACTAGATGATCTAAATTAGAGTACGTGTAGTGAGATTTGAATCGGTAACTTAATATGGTTGAAATTCAATCGAATTAATCATTGAACCAATAGTATATAAACCTTTCAATGAATTTTGTCCGATAATCAAGTACAGTTTAGAATTTAATCATTGATGAATGACCGATTTCATGTTCGTTTAGTTCTCTGGATTTGGTCAAGTTCTATCTATTCGACTTGTAAGATAGCTACTCTTATCAATGCGAGTTTCAGTCCAAAAGATAAAATGCGCTTCCTCGATTCCACTGTTATCCGCTAATAACAACGTAGTTTATTTAGAAAACTGAGTATCAGCATCCTGAATATACTTACTCCTGTTACCCACAATGGAGCATAGGCCGTCAACCAGTGTTCTCCAACCCACTCTGTCCTCCGCCTTCCTTTCGAGTTTTATACAATTGTTGTTCATTCTTCTCATGTCTGTCTGTATCCATTTCTCAGCGTAATGTGTTCTTTGGCCTTCTTCTCTTCCTATAGCCTTAAGGACTTCAAGTGTGGGCTTGCCTTGTGACGTGGTTGGGTGGTTTCCTCAATGTGTGTCCCATCCGCTTCCAGAGCTTCTTCTAGGTTTCTTCCTCAGCTGGGTTCTGGTTTGTTCTCTCCCACAGCAGGTTGTTGTTGATATTGTCTGACCAACAGATCCGAAGCATTTTACGTAGACAGCTGTTAATAAACACTTGTATCTTCTGGATGATGACTTTCGTAGTTCTCCAATTTTCCACTCCAAACAAAGAACTATCTTGACACTTGTATTGAAAATTCTGACTTTGGTGTTGGTTGACAGACAGTTGTTTGGAATTCTAGATGTTCTTCAACTGTAAATATGCTGTTCTTGCTTTTCCGATCCGTGCCTTTACATCTGCATCAGACCCACTGTGTTCATCAATGATTCTGACCAGATATGTAACGGCTTTTACATCTTGCAAATCTTCTCCGTCAATGATGATTGGATTGGTGCATGTTGTGTTGTATCGGAGAATCTTGCTTTTCCCTTTGTGTATGTTGAGACCTACTGCTGATGAGACTGCTGCTACACTGGTCGTCTTTTTCTGCTTTTGTTGTTGCGTGTGTGATAGAAGAGCCAAATCATCTGTAAAGTCTAGATCGTCCAGCTGCATTCTAGCCATCCACTGTATCCCATGCTTCCCCTCAGATGTTGACGTCTTTATGATCCAGTCGATCACTAGGAGAAAGACAAAGGGTGAGAGTAAGCAACCTTGCCTCACACTGGTCTTTACTTCGAACGACTTTGTCAACTGTCCTCCATGCACAATTTTGCAGTTTAATCCATCATAGGGATTCCGTATGATATTGGTTATCTTCTCAGGTACGCCGTAGTGTCGAAGAAGCTTTCATAGTGTTGTCCTGCCCATGTTGTGAAATACTTTCTTGTAGTCAATGAAGTTGATGTAGAGTAATGAATTCCATTCAATTGATTGTTCCAAAATGATCCGTAGTGTTGCGATTTGGTCTGTTTTGGTCCATTCTCTAGATGTCAATTAATCAAGGAGAGAAAACAAGATGTAAAACGGTAAGGTAGTTAAATACCATGATTTATAAACACCTTTAAGGATATCTTGAACAATGTACTGCCATACATAAGAAGTAGTTCATATGGTTCATATATCGAAAACTTTGTAAAATGAAGTCTTCATGATCCCAGCTCGCGTATTCATAGATCAGACTATATATATACATAAACAATCATAAAACGTATTTCAACATTACATGAAACAAAAAAAACAGTTTTCATCTTCTCCTACAAACATAATGTACATACTTTTCTTTTTTGTTCTTTATGATCAGAACCATGACTACCACTAGCATCATTTGATGATAGATCAGATGAATCACTATCTGAATCAGATAAATCCAATGTATGCATTGAATGTGTTGATTCAATATCATCAATTGCTGTTAATGATGTATTAGAACCTTTTAATGTTGGTGTTTGACTATCTGATTGATTTGATTTATTGTTGTTGTTATTATTATTATTAATAAGTGAAATATCTTTAATTGATAAACATTTTTCTAAATGACTAATTGATGCTTTCGGTATAACAACAGGGCTAATATTAGCATAATGTTTCAATAATAATGGTTCTAAACGATATGCCTTGAAATAAATGGAAGAAAGAAAGAAAAAAAAACATGGAAAAATTTAACAATGTCAACTGTCCGATTTCATTTGTGAAATGAATTAACATACTACTTATTAGATATCTGGTTATACATCATTGAATAATGAATATTAGTTGAATCTAGGACTAAGGTTAACTGGATATGTTGGGGTGATCCAGAAAATTTCTTGCAAAAGACAAGCAAGGATCAGGAAACACTAAGAAGCTTTTCACCGAATCAGCGTTCACTTGTAGTTTTAGCCAGAGATATCAAGGAAGTGAAACGGCACATGTAGTGGTTCTGATTGGCTGGTTGTTATACGACTACTATGTTTAGTAGCATTCCAGAATCTTCAAGCAACCTAAGGACATTTAAAATATTATAAAAATCCTCTGTTTTCTGTATTGAAATGAACCTTTGGAGTAAAGTACTTCTCGCATACTTTTCTTCTTCTCTCTCGTGTTCAGGTCGCTGTATAGTTCTAGCTTGTGGGGGGTCTACAGAATAGCTTAGGAAACGAATATAGCGTTCAATTTGCCAGACTTATCAATTTTAATGTTAATGTCCCCAATAGAGACTCAGATCTAGTACCTAACATTACAAACGTCATGGTGTTATGAATATTATTACTTAGAAAAGCTTAATAGATAGAGATGGATCCGACTAGTCATTTGAGTGAACGATTTAATATTTTGGATAAATATTAATAGTAGATACAAATCATTGTCTACTTATTAAACATGATAACATTTTCTCTAAAAAAAATCAAATGTAAGTTTGTAGTTTATGAAAGATAATTTTGATAGATCTCATATTATCTAAACTATATGGTTTAGTTGAAAGGTTCTCTGTTTATATACATCACACTTGATTATCAGCGAAGCGCTTTATTCAGTTAGAAATAAATTCAGCTATTGAAAATAACTACAATCTCCACAAACCCTCATTCTAATCATAATCATCATCATGTGCTCACTAGGCAATGGATTCAAGATGGATTTCCTGAAGTTCTAGTGAGAAGCCGTGACCAATGGAGTCCAATCTGTGTTGGTAAGAGAGAGCTATCCACTTCCAGACAATAAATAAAGAGTTGCACAAGATCATGGATCAGTTGAAGTTAGACATTAACACCAATGGATGTCGGCTAAGTGGTTTAGAGGTTAACAGTTAGCGCACGAAACCGAAGGCCATGAGTTCTAGTCCCACATGCGGAATTGTAGGTGGGCACTGTTCAGCAGTCTTGTACTAGAATAAAACAACCGTCTAGTGCTTCAGGTCTTTCGACGTTAATCTAGCTTAAATTAAGCTGATGAATTCACCTGCTGAAATTACTATAATTTGCACAACTCCCATCCCCGTTTAGACTTTGGATTCATCAATTTTCGATGTTACATCATTTAATCTGTATTGAAATGCGATGTTTAATTTAAATTTATTTTGTGCATTATGAAATAATCAGTTTTTACTCATCTTAGTTTCTAAATAAATCATCTATTGATTAAGTTTTACAGTTAGTGATTCATGTAAAATAGACCTAAACGAAGTTTTGTTTCTATGTTCCAATTAAATGTGAATCAATCAATTAAAGGATGGAATATATATATATGCAATTCCTTGTTTATTGTTTAATGGTTAAGTAATTGAATGATGGATATTGAGATCAGATGATAGTTGGAGGTAGTCGATTGGAAACCCTGGACCCGGGTCTCAGCTACTTGGCACTCGTCAACAAGGTGTACCTGTAATCTTGAGGGAAACTGGTGCTCCCTGGCGGACTTGACCACATGACATTGATCACCAGTCCAGTGGTCAGTCAATTGTGATTGAAATATGGATATATTTTCATTTTTTTTATTTCATATCTTAGCTCTATGGAATAGATCATTCAAAAGTGAAATATTTGTTATATCCCGATGAGAATTATGAATGGTAACTTAGGGATCTATTTCTGGAATAATAATAATGCGTATACTTTTATTGTATAGTTGTTAAGTAATTAAACTATTCATATTCGTGTCCCTTTTATCATAAGCTTTATTTTGACTTATGAACGATTATCATACGATTTA